GATGATGATGATGATTATGGTGATGGTGATAATGATGACGATGACAAAGATAACTGGAATGATGACGATAATGATGATGGTCCTGATGATAGAGATGAGGATCGTTACGAGTTCAGTATGGCTATGATGATAATAATGATGATGAAGATAATTAAATGATGATCATGATGATGATAATTATGATTAGAGTGATAATCATCATAGTGATGGCCACGATTATAATGATGATGAAATATAAGATGGGGGGGTCATAATGGTGGTGGAGGTGATGATAATGATGGTGGTGGTGGTGGTGATGGTGGTGGTGCTGTGATGTTTACTTTATAAGAGTAATTAATTATTCGGAATATAAAATGTTTAAGACTGAATGTTGTTGTTCATGTTTTGTTTATTTATATAGTGAGGATTAAGCCTTTGCAAATCAACCAAATATTAATTTGTGTATATTTATCGTTATTGGCTGTTTACAATGCAATGGCCATTAATTTATACGTATAAAAATTAATAAATGAATAATAATTAATTAATAATAATTATCATTATAAGTGGTGGCTTTCAGTTTTGTCTGACAGTGTTTGTGTGCTAACGTAATTTTTATCTTCTAATCATAAATAGCTCTGTGTTGGATTGGGCATGTTTGATAGTTTTGCTTTGTGACATGAGGTAAAAAACAACATGATATTGTTATTCTTGCACACGCTGTGTACTTGTGATGGAAATTTTGTCTTGATGTCAATGATTTTAATGTGAAAACATATGCATGCTCTGATGTTGTTCATTGTTAGTAATATTCTAATTGTGTCTGATTGAAGATTTTCAGTTGAATACTGTTCAATGAAAGATATTTATTTCATAATGTTCAATAAAAGATAGTTAAATTATAAACCAACAAACCTCGCTGTCAGGATGTTAAATTGTAAAAGATTGTTCTAATATTATGCAAACAAATATAAAATATCTTTATAAATCTTAATCCCAAACTTCAAATCATGCATGTTAAAAATCAAAAATAAAACATTTAAGTTATAGAACAAAATAACAAAATGTCTTGTAAGTTTAAAAAATATTATCAGCCATTTATAAGAAATCACGCTAATGGTAGATGTGGCTTATAGCATCTCTCTTAAACGCTATTGGTTGACGATTTAGAATTAGGCGGAGCTAACTTGAAAAAACGTCATGTCGGAAAAGGATCATTACAACGGTAAGATGAGAATCAACACGTCAATCAAACGGCGATGCTGTGACTCGTCATGATTAGTTGGATTCAGTCAATTCTCTTGAAGTAAAGTTTTAGCAGGCAGTCAGTTCGTTGAGCTTTCGTAACTAAATATTTTATTGAACTGTACTCACAAATCTATGTGTTATTATCTGTAATAAAAATAATTTCATAGATATTCTATGTGCACCCATCATCATAATTCAACTGAACTCTCAAATGCGAAATGTATACGTGCACGTACAAGGCCGTAGAGAATTTCGTACGTATTATTTGTTCGCTAACGTGTATTTATTTATTTCATCCATCCATCTACATGGTCCGTATTTTTATCCTATCAATCGACACATCCATCCTAACGCACATTCTACGTTAACACATTTGTGAGATAACATTTACAACTTCATGGACACCACCAGCAGTTTTTGATGTCACATATACGTCACGAGTAAATGATTACCTTATCAAGTTGAAGTTCATCGATAAATAATGCCATGTTGTGTTGGTTGTTTAACGATTTGGAAAAATGTAGAGCTATTTTGATTTCGATAAAAATGCTCTCTTTTTCCATTTTGAAATTGGAAAGCAAAGAAACTAATTTAATGGGATTAATGGTATTTTGAGAGTTTAGAAAATCCAATAAAAAAATTTGATGCAGATATGGTAAGATACTCCTCTGCTAGTGTAAACAGCGTCTAAGTTGTTTTGTTAACGTCAATTCAGCTATCAAAACTATCAAATGATATTTACTACTTCGCTAACTCTTCGTAAGATTTACATTTCAAAATCAACCACATCATTAAAAATTGTTTACGACGTTCACTTTTTAATTTTTGTTGTCTTATGTAATTATTTACTTGCTTTTTTTACTTATTATTTACTGGGAGGTTGTTGGAAATAAGAAGTTGATTACTTTTAAATTACCAGGCATCAACGCCAAGTGAAAAGTTTGTTTTTCATAATGCAATTTGGAAACAAAAATCTGGCTCAATCTTGAAATCCGGCCTAATTTTGGGTTGGTTTTGGAGAAATGACTTAAGATTCACAGGAGCCTAAAATTAAAACGCCCTAAAACGTGTTTTACGACACTTACATTAGCAATGTTTACAATGAAATATTACAGCACGTGTTTTACAACAGAATATTCTATTTGATACGATTAGTGATGTGCAAATTTGACTTGGTTCGGTTGAGTCAGCGTTGTTCGTTCGGTTCGGTCTGTAACCAAAAGTTTCAACGTTCGGGTTCTGTTCGGTCGTAAGTGTGGGGTTCGAGCTCGACTCGGTTTTTTTGGTTTTACTCGATTACCATTTCTGATCGGGACATCTCTACCCTTAAAAAAATATAGTCTGGATATTTATTTTGAAAAAAATTTTAAATCTCACCGACCGGTATATTAAGAGATGCTCGAGTAGTTTTGCAAGTGCTTATTAAAACTGAAAGAATCTTAAATCACTTCATTTCATTTCGAAACCTTGAAAGCACCTGCGTAAATAATTATAGCACAGCTAGATTTAACAACACAGTTTATTAGCTGATTTCAACAACAGCTGCTTAGCAAAGCAGCTTATGAAACGCTTAACTTGTATCGGTTAAATTCACCAAACAACAAACCGGCACTTCTTGATTGTGGAGCATGTTAAAACAATACTTACGTTTTTCATTTAAAAATTTCAAGTCAGTTGGTTCAGTAGTTTTTTTTAGTCTATAAGAAACGACAAACATAAATTAATTCTTATAAAATATGTCCACTGTATACATAGATTTCTAATTTCTTGAATACGCATCAATAGTAACATATGGTTCTATGTTTTTATGGTGACAAAGATTATGAAAATAATATTTTTTGTTTCTATTAGGGAGCACGTGCAATTATTAACTTGGCAGTAGTGATAGGAGCTTTCGTTAATAACATAATAAATTCTATTGTTTGAGATACATATATAATATATTTTATTTTGTTGTTTACATATGATGGATTACATAAACGAAGAATATATATCGTGCCTATGTGTTGCTGGTATAGTTAAAGAATACATGGAGAAGTTCTCCCGGTTTCAAATTTCTTTACAGATAACAATGTATAAAAATTATTTGAGGAGTCACAGCAGCACTCAGCAACTACCAGCATATACAGTCACAAAATTTTCAAAATTCTTTGTTTCTCCCAATTACAGTCCAAATGAGAGTGTCAGATGGTGGAGCTGGTTTTGTTCATTAACTGGCGATCAACAATATGACATCATGAAGGGGACGCAAGATTTCTATTACACGAGAAGTACCGCATGTCCTTTAATCGCAAGATATCAAACGGCAGATGATTTTGCGATTGGAAAAATTAGTCATAAAGATTATTATTACCCGACCAGTGTAGATAATAAAATATACAAACTGCCTTTCTACAAGGGAAAGTTTTTAAACGAGTCCTGCTCCATCTGCTCCGAAGATTTCATTGAGAAGTCCTTTGTGTGCGAACTTCAATGCCGACATGTCTACCATTTTGCATGCATACGTCTATGGCTGCTAAAAAAATCTTCGTGTCCCTTTTGTCGACAGGCGATCTCAGTTACTTTGCAGCTAAAACAACGCAACAAAGTCAAATATGTGGGGGAGAGTAAAAAATTAATAAGCATTTATTTGAACACTAAAAGGAAATATAACTAGTAAGTACATTACATTTTAAATTCTATGAAGAAACGCTTCATCTTTTGGATCTTTTTGAACTTTACCTGTGATATGATTTGTGATATTTTGATAATAAAATTATTTTTCATCAAACTTTGAAAAATGAAAATTAAAGCCATCGTGTTCTGTTCTCTTTTTAACCGCATTGCAATTTTTAACAAATATAACATAATTGTGTAGATGTACAGAATAGTAAATTTCACTAAAAATAATGCCGAATCATATATATATATATTATATTTATAATTATTTATAATATATATTATAATTTATATTAATAAATATGCATGCACAGAGTTTGGTTAAATTAATTTGCGGATTTAAAATTATTTTAAACCTAAAAAATTGCTTACATGGCATTTAAAAAAATGAACAAAATAGACGGTTAAAATTGTGCTGATCGATATTGGTGAATAAAATAACGCGACGGACATAATAATGTAGAATATTTAGCAGGTCGACTCCGATATTTTAAATCTTCCCGTGTTTATGTTAAACGTGTGCAAACTTACACCACATAATCACATAAGCTGTCCACACGATTTAGTGCGCTCAAGTCCGCTAGTGCACAAACAAAGGCAGCTTTTTGTAGCTTATGTTAAAGTAATAGCCCTTTATGTTAATGTAAAACCAAAATCACGTGATTATCCTAATTTAAATGTTCTTATGTTCATTAAGCTAAAGTTATTATAAATTCAAGTATGTTAATAATTAAGTATCGAATAATTGTTTTATTTAAATTTATTCAATAAATAACAAATAAAAAATAAACTATATTTTTATTGTCAACGGCCCTTTCAAAAGCTTGGAAAATGTCATTATGTAAATCGCTTTCTTCAGCATATAAAATAAATATAATTAAAAGTTCATATATCTATGCTACACATATCTATGCACACCACACACACGCACGCACACACACGTACATATATATATATATATATATATATATATATATATATATATATATATATTTACAATATTCTATAAATTCTACCGAATGTTTGGCGTTAATATGTTTGTAGTTCGTTTTTTCGATTTTTCTCACTAAAGTTTTTTGGTGAACGTTTAGTTTATTAAAATTCAAAATAAACTTATTTTTTGAATTCATGCTGCAAATAAGGCCATATTTCGATTCCGAATGAATCATCATCAGAGCTCCTTGCTGTATATATAGGGAAATATTTCAAATTTTACGTGTTGGTAAGGTACATATTTCCAATTTTCGTTCTTTATTCATTGATAGTTATTTTATTTTTATTGTTATATTTATCGTTTCAAACTACACACACACGTACATATATATATATATATATATATATATATATATATATATATATATATATAAATTATAATAAAGTATGACAAAAACAAATAAGTTTTGTAATTTTCAAAGCGACAATTACCGAAAAAAATTAAATCTATTTGAAAAACCTAATAATTTTTTCTTGCCACTAAACGAAGGAGTTAAATAATATCAAAATGCAGAGTTGTCAGCGCGCAGTGGTGGTACATTCACTTAGCAGCAGTAGCGATTTTTGTAGCGGCGCTTCTTTTAAATCTAAAATAAAATAGTTACCGCTACTCTCAAAACAATAATGTCTCCCCATTAGATTGTGAGTAAAAGTAATTAATAATCTTCTAATTAAAGAAACCTAAATTAAGTGACGTTGTTATGCTTCTGCATTTGCTTGATGCTTTTTTATGGTATTCTTTTTTGTTTCTTTACAATTTAAGTGGTTTGATTTTTACTGTATTCCGTAAATATTCGTGGTTTTAACTCTAACTTTTCGTAGTTTAGGTTAATGTAAAATCAAAATCACGTGATGATTATCTTAATTTAAATGGGCTAAAGTTATTATAAATTCAAGTATGTCAATAATTAAGTAATGAATAATGTTTTTTTTAATTTATATAATAAATAACAGATGAAAAATAAATAATATTTTTATTGTCAACGGCCCTTTCAAAAGTTAGGAAAATGTCATTATGTAAATTGCTTTTCTCAGAATATAGAAAATATAATTAAAAGTTTATATATCTATGCTATACATATCTATGCACACCACACACGCGCGCGCACGCACACACGCACATATATATATATATATATATATATATATATATATATATATATAACACAGATAAAACACGTGCATGTGTGTTGAACGAGCCTATATATATAAGTTTACGACGCTGCTTCTTAACTTTACAACATTTTAATTTGGTTTGTTCTCCAATTTAACTTCTGGTATTAGTTTAATTTAATTATAAAAATGGAAAATAATAGAAGTAACGATGAGGACTTAGTTGGTTTTTTGATAATTTTCGGCGTTATCAAGCCATATAGAAAAAAATTTTTCAAGAGCCAGAGAGCTTTTCAGGTGACAACTATGAAACAATACCTCAAGAGGGAAAATTTAATAAATAACTTTTCAACTTACAGCATTTCAAAGCTATCAAAATTTATAGTTTCAAAAAATTATGATTCCCCGAGAGAAAAGAATTGGTGGAAAAGTTTTCTGCCGCTGACGGATGGAGAGCTCTATGAGCTGATGAAGAAGACTCAGGACGTTTATTTTAATATAGAGTATAACGAGGAATTGATAGGAAAATCGAGGTTCTCAAACAAAGTTTTCGATAGCGAAATAAACCACAGAGACTTTTACATCTCGGCTAATGCTGATAACAAGATTTACAAGCTACCCTACGTGAAGGAGAAGTTTGTTAATGAGGAATGCACGATCTGCGCCGAGGAGTTCAGCGATGGATCGTTCGTAAGTGAGCTGGTTTGCCGACACGCCTTCCACGTCGACTGCATTGACAAGTGGTTTGAAAAGAAGACAAACTGCCCGTTCTGTCGCCGAAAAATAACGACATCGTGCGATTTCTACCACTGCCAATCGTCTATAGAGTTGGAAGATGGCACAAAATATGTATTCATCAGTGTAAGGACTGAGAGACGATTTTATTGATGTTTATATTTTCACTTTTTTATTTCAAATTTTACGTGTTGGTAAGGTACATATTTCCAATTTTCGTTCTTTATTCATTGATAGTTCTTTCATTTTTATATTTTATGTTTCATACTAAGACGGTTCAGTCTTAAATTTCTAAATTATAATAAAGTATGACAAAAACAAATAAGTTTTCTAACTTTCAAAGCGACAATTACCGAAAAAAATTAAATCTATTTGAAAAACCTAATAATTTTTTCTTGCCACTAAACGAAGGAGCTAAATAATATCAAAATGCAGGGTTGTCAACGCGCAGTGGCGGTACATTCACTTAGCAGCAGTAGCGATTTTGTAGCGGCGTTTCTTTTAAAGCTAAAATAAAATCGCTACCGCTACATTCGAAATAAAAATTTCTTCCCATTTGATTGTGAGTATTAGTAATTAATAATCTTCTAATTAAAGAAACCTAAATTAGATGGCGTTGTTTTGCTTCTGCAATTGTTTATTGTTTTTTATGGTTCTCTTTTTTGTTACTTTACAATTTAAGTGGTCTGATTTTTACTGTATTTCGTAAATATTCGTGGTTTTAACTCTCGCTCGTCGTTTTATTCAACTTTAGCGCAGTGTTTTAACTCTAACACATGGTTTTAAGTCAACTTTAGCACGTCCTCCATGCTCACTTAACATTGGGCGCCACCTTATTATGGCGCGGCGCAAGTTGAATAAATAAATAATTCATTCAAAATTCGTTTTCTCGGTAACTAGAAATGCTACAATGATAAATTTAGTAATATTTTAATCAGCAAATTTCGCTTTATATGAAAAAATAATTTATATACAAAAAAATTTTTTAAATCGTGCGACCTGCTACATTATCAAGATAATTTATTCACAATTAATTTAATACCAACAAAGTTAAATTCAAAGTCAGTAATTAATTCATTTACCTTAAAATTTTTTGCAACAAACTTAGAAAAATCAGTTGTAGTTTGTCGACGTTTCATTTTAAACCCATTAAAAAATGATTTCATATCTATTTTTAAAATGATTTTAAATTTTAGTCCGCTTATCAAACACACAATGAAAAGTTAACTTAAATCAAAGATAGAAGAAAGATAGCAAAGATACTTCCCTATTTTTGCTTAAATTACGGCATACAAATCTCAAGAACTAAATATGAAAATTAGCATGGAAAGTTTATAAAATATTTAAAATTATATCTAAAAAAATACTAAATTTTTATGACAAAATATTGGGGGGCTCAGCATTGTTGCGGGCCCGAAGGAATAAATATCGTCGGTCAATGTTAATTTATTTAAACAATGTTAAATAAGATCGACAGCCTTGCTTTTTAAATATTTATTTTTTGCTAAGTTACGTGCTGCTTGGCATGCAAAGCACGGTGAATAAATGATGGATTTTGACAGGTTAATAGAACCCACGCATAAAATGCTTATTACCTTTAGCATTACATACCCTGATTACTCCTAAGCATTAATATGCTAATTACACCAGATGCATTTATGTTAATTAACCCTTATAACAAATACCCCTTGATTGATGTTTTTTTTATTGATTGATTAATTATTAACTTGACTTCAAAAATGCAAATGAGCAACAAAGTGGTTTTGAGGAACTGCAGCAACATCATATAACTCTCTTGACCAATTCTTTCAATCACAACGCAATACAACACAGTTGACAAATTACAATATACGTTTAATTTAAGAATTAAATTGATTGTAAACAAGGAACATTTTTTATAACCACAGTTCATTCGTTTATTCAGGTTTGTACGAACACATCCACATAAGAACACAATTCTGACTTTTTTTATTAGAATGATGTTAATAAATGTGATTTCGATTCGTCCTTGAAATTTGACAGAGATCTATCATGACAAATTTTGCAAACGCAAATACCAACACAAACATAATGTAACATACACACACGCACAAAACACATACACACACGCACAAAACACAAACACATGCACATTCACGTACACACACATACACACACACACGTAAATAACATACACACACTGATCTTATTCGCCATTACACCTTACCTTTAGCAAAGGCCTGTATATTATATATTCTATAAATGTGTATATGATACATATATGATATAAGTCAAGATCTTAAATCACGATTATAACTTACGCTATTTGTGTAAGTTTTAGCGTGGCAACACCCATTTGGCATATATTACATTAGTTAATAAATTATTAATTAATTAATTAGTTATAAATGACTTAGTGCCTTTTAAAATATGGCATTATTTATTTTCAATCATAGCAGAGAACTGAAGTTTCAATAATATATAGAAAAATCACTTTTAGTTGAAATTCACACAGTAGTAAGAGACGTGGTGCTGAATGATGAAAATAATCAAAAAATCGTCCTGTTGAAAGTTCGTGCCACAACTGCCTTCAATTTTTCTCACATATACTTTAATCGGAAAGCTGCATGGTTGGAAGGTTGGTGTGGTATCCGCCTGTTTGTCTGTTAGTCATTTAAAGTGCTTGAGAATTGTATACAATGGAAGAATTAACATCCAAAACGTCGTTCACTGTACAGATGAATGAAACAGGTTCTTCTTTGAAATACACACGCACATAACACACACACATGCACATAACATGCACACCCCCACATAACATACATACACGCACACACACACATGCACGCGCACAAAAAAAGCGTGGATCAGAAAAAATGAAGAAATCTTACATGCGCCAGCAATGAGCACACACAAAATAAAACACACATATAAGAAGATGCACGCGCAAGCACTGCAGACCCATCATAACATCATAACACGGCGTTCACCTAATATTTTATAATTTAAAACTATAGAAGCAAACAATGCAATAAATTTTTAAGCACTAATACCTCCACATGCACACACACGCAAACACACACGCACGCACACGCAAACAAACATTGGTATACGCACATGGACACGAAAAACAGACATACCGAAAAAAACACTCACATAAAATAGGCAGAGACAACTACAGATACAGACAATTACACGAGCAACACTCTCGCACAAACACGCACACACATACACGAACACAAACACACACACACACATGAGCACACACACACACATGAGCACACACACACATACACGCAAAAATAATACATGCACGCACATTTACACTTACGCACGCACAATCTTATAACTTCTATGGTCTCTTCGTCTTATTTGCTTTTTCCTTACTCCATTCAGATATTCTGTCATTTTGTCTTTTCTATTACTTCTTATTCGAGTTTTATATTTGCATGTCAAAATTTATGAAGATTTTTTTTTCAAATTATGATCGTAAGTTTTTCAGTTTATTCAATATACTTTTCAATAAATTTAATTATAAATGTGGCGAGTTAATTATTATTTATATTAAATTTTTTGAAAACTAGTTTAATTTTCAATTTAGTCGTTTAACCTTTGACCCAAAGTGTTTTTATTTTGTCATATTTTAGAAATATTTTTTCCCATCTTCTTTAATGCTAACTCCAGTCTCAACTGGATGGCACTGCGTCTGCATATACCCTGCCTACTTATATTGAAAGTCATTCAACCAACCAACCAACCAACCAGCCAGCCAACCAAC